CTAACATGTCCTTAGCTCCTCATGCTCCTTCTTCACTCACCTGCAGATCAAACACATGAAATACTAAATACAATCCTACTGATAGAGGATTATGAAATAATCAATTTAATAAAGGAAAAAAATTGCATGTCCTAATAATATTGTTCCAATTACAAATTATTCTACTAAGAAGGGACTGCTCACAGTCATGGGGCACTGCTAGAAACCTGTAACTCAGACTGGTCTGCTAAACCCACGTACCCTCTCTGCAGAGCAGCATTACAGCAGGTGTAACTACTCAAATCAGCCCTATACATTTATTAGGAAGATGACCTTGCAGTGTTTTATAGAAAGCTACATTATAGTGCCTTCCCTATATCTTTTTGCAAACACCTAAATATCAGCATAACTATAATGCCTGTTACCTAACAGCTATTTAAAAATAAATTTTAAATAACTAGTTAATTTTTAAAGAATTGCTGAGATCCATCCTCACAGATTGCTTGCCTACACAGAATCGATCAAAAAATACTCTTACTCACCATCCATTTCCACATCTATACAGTGCTGTCTAACTCTTAGGCTACATTACACCCTCTAAGAAGAAAAACACATGTGAACATTAAACTAGGTTACTAGAAGCATCTAAATTCCCTACGCAAAAAACCTCGCAAAGCTTCCAGTGTTCTGACCATGGCTCCAGAACATAAATGGGATCCCCTTAATCCTTCACAAGGATATGGGGAAATTTTGACATTTTCTAATGACTTTATAGCTGCCACATGTAATACAGTGAGAATTTTTACTCAGTATAGACAAATTCATACAACATTCTATCAAAATGTCTCTGTATTCGTGTTGTCTGTTTTTCTGAAGCACATAGACCTCAACAGAAATCCTGTGAGTTATGAATTAATTTATTGGCATGCTGTTAGATGAGACAAAGTCTTGCATCTTCAACAGGCATTTCTGTAATCATGCTGGAAGCATGAAGACATATCCATTTCACCTTAATATACACACAGAAAATCAGAGCTGAATATATAGACTCATTATAAAATTACAAAAGCAAACAATCATCTTTACCTTTTCTAATTACACAAGGTGGGTTATTGTCTAAAAACTCTCCACTGCTAACAAGTTAAAAACATCATCTGAGGAAAAAAAAAATCCAAACTTATGTAGCAAAACAAACAACAAGAAAGCAAGAAACCAAAAGGAACAGAATCCTTCAAGAAGAGATACTTGCAGTATTTGTTGCTTGGTGCTGACGCATCTGCTACACAAGAGCATCACATAAAACAGTTGTCTGATGCTTTACTACCTGCACAAAGTGCAAAATCAAGCGTTAGTATCACTTTCCTTTTACACTAGAGACTCACCAATCTTCAGATGAAAGCAAAATCCAAGGAAACAAGATGTGCTATTTTAAGACTGATGAATACCATCTGAAAGTATCTTAATGATATTAAAAAAAGAAGTTCATGTTCTGTTTCTCTTACACTTTATTAAATAAGAGATCATATTAAACATGATCCATTATAAAGCTATGGAAGCACTGTTACTGAACAGCTGGGAGAAGTCATTTACAAAAGCATTGATATTCACCAAAGATCTGGTGCTAGATACAGCAATACACAAGTCTCTTACCTGAATTATGTAGCTTGTTCCACTGAGTCAATGCCCGCTGCAATTTATAGTCAATTGACAACATGCAAAGTAGCTTACAGGTAGATCTGCTCATTTCTGGTTTGGCTTTTCCACCCACACCACAGTTATGATGGCAACAAAACCTGGCATAAGGGCCAGAAACTTCAAAACTGTATTGAACACAACCAGATTACCTGAGAGAGTAATCAGGAACATACTTTGTTTACTTCCTATGTATATTCTGTTTCACTGTACTGAAGCAGTATTTTCTTTTATTGGCATTTTGTACTTTAATGATTAAATATAACAATGAGCTAGAATTTAGTTAAATATTCATCTGCAAAGCATAAGCAAACTAATTTTCATAGCTTCATTTTAAACACAAAGCATCAGCATCTATTTAGAAGAAGCTTGCATGGGATTTGTCTCCAGATTAAGCTGTGTCCTCACTTCCAATAACAGTACATTTAATCTTCATTATACCTGTAATTTTGGGGAATTCCTTTAGTGTTAAGAAGTTTAACAGCATATAAAAGGTCTCTAATAAAGCATTTATGAAGGTCAACAAGATTTGAAAACAGTGAGCAATCAGTAGCAAGACAAAAGTTTTAAAGTTTTGCTTAAACTCAGAAACACAGTGTGGAGCAAACAATCATCAGATGTCTGGGGTATACAGATGACACACGCTTCAGTACAGAGCTGTCCAGCTGTACAGGTCTAAGGAAACAGGACACCTAACTTCAAAACTCCCACACTTCACAGGATTATCTTGACACTTTAGACTAACTCACTACTTGCCCCTTCTATAGAACAAAATAAAACTACACAGAAAATCCAAACCCAAGCCAGTTTAGCTTAAAACTTCCAGAAGACACTAAGATTAAAAACACTTGTTCTACTACCAAGAGAGCTACATACACACAATCTGTCTTCTTGGGACTGTCAGCCACCCAAGAAAGCATTCTGCTCCTGCAGCAATGCTGTATTTATTCCTCATCCTCCTCCCCTCACCAGCTTCAGGCCTTGTGAAAAGGCAGCCAAAAGCCAGAACATCTACTAGAGCTGGTAGATGGGGATGCACTCAACAAACAGATTAGTCTTCTTTAGGGGACTTTTTGTACATCATTCTGGATTAACTCAGGTTTTGGAAGGCTACAGGACTGACAGGAGAATAAGCTCTGTACCTGCAAAAGACCTACAGTCAGTGTAGATTTTATGGGACAACTGTTTCCACCCCTGATGTGGCAGAGCTGTGGGCACAGCTGTCTCCCACACCACTCTGTCCCCAAAGCTATGGGCTAAGGAAGCCAAAACTGCACCTGGCAATACACAGTCCTGTTGACGAATCATTTCCTTCCACACTGGAACTGAAAACTGCGCCAGACAAAAATACAGCCACATACACATACCTCAATCTGAGTCAGGGATTAAAAAAAGTTTCAGTTAGCAACTTGGTGAGTCTCTTTCCTTTATCTAAGCACCAAACAAATGCATAATGCTACTCCAAAGCATTTTCAGAGCTGTGCTTTTACAGACAGGGTGAACAATGACATATAGATGACGCACATCCGTTTTTCAAAAATCTGCTTTATCTTTAATTGTTACATTCCAAAGGGGATATATGAAATTTAGTCATCTAGCAATTGTATACCTCTTGAGAGATGAGTACAGAATCACAGATAAAAAAATACACCTAACTGCCAAGATGACAGGTGCTAGAGAAAGTATGTGCCTTAAACCATCAATCCAGACAAATGCAGAAAGATTTTTATAATAAATATATCATTATATAGCAACTCCTGAGACTTTACCAAAGAAACGAAAGGGAAAAGATTTTTTTAAGAGATGCAATACACATACCATATATTAAATTATTAAAGCAAAACAAAACAAAATGCCAACACTGTCTCGATATGCACACATCTGAGTTTATCTACATCACAGTACTTGAAGTATGTAGCTCAACGAGTCAGTGCCCATTTAAGTCTTGTCTTAAATCTGCAAACCTTACTTGACATAAAAGCATCTTGAAAGTATGCGTGCACCAAACCAAATGGTGAATACAGCCACTCAGGGTTTCACTTTCTCAGGCAAAAATGACACTACTGAGATTTAGATTTCCAGTACCTAGCACTAGTCAGCAGAAAATCCAAGAATATTTACAAAAGGTCTCTACATAAAGTGATTAGTGAGTTGTAATTATGGTGTTCCCAGATACTTTTTAACTACATAAATAGTAGAGAGAAATATATAGTTAAAACCCACCATAAAGTCACAACTGTAAATAAGGTACCACAGTGGCAACCCAAGGTATCTTAAGGTTTGTTTTCTTCTCAGTTTTATTAGTAAAAGCCATTGGAAAACAAAGATTTTAGCTTTTGTTTAACTGATCTTTTGAAATTTCTTCCATTCCCGTACATTCCTTCAAAGTTCAAATACTTTTTTCTCTATTTTATATTTTAAATCAACGATGAACCATTCAAGCAAACCCTTCTGAATTGGCAGGATCAGGAAGACATTAAGCCAGCTCTTTCCACCAGTCCACTCCACTGCCCCGGAGCTGCTTTCCTGAGACAGTTAACTCAGGACCACGTGGCGGTCAAAGACAGACTTGCGCTGCTCCTGGACCTGCAGCTTCCAGCGCTGCTGGGCGTACTCCACCTTGTTCAGCACGTTGGCGCGGCTCCGGGAGCGAGCCAGCACGTCGTGGGCGTTGGCAAAAGGCTGGTGATCCTGCAACGGCAAAGAGAGCACAACACCTCCTCTGAGCAATGACACTAGTCGTCTTCGTTGTTACACTCCAAAGGATGCAGGGGGTTTTGCTTTGGGGTTTCTTGGTTTTGTTTGTCTGTTTGTGGGGGGTTTGGGTTTTGTTGTGGTTTTGTTTGTTTGTTTTTAAAGAAAAACAAGCTGTTTCAATGAGCTGGTCAGTAACGATAAATATTTCAATAGTTAAAACTGCACTTCAATTTCTCATTCAAATTAACTCCCACAGGATTCCAAAATAGTTTTTTGACAGTACAATGAAGTTTGGTCTATCTGCTGCCCAGAGACATCATGGTGTGCTGCAATATGTTTGGCTCATCTGATAGACTTCTATGATAGCGTGACTAGTTGGATAGATTAAGGCAGAGCAGTGGATGTGGTTTACCTCGACTTCAGCAAGGCTTTTGGCACTGTCTCCCACAATATCCTAGTTGTGAAGCCCAGGAAGTATGGACTGGATGAGCTGACTGTGAGATGGGTTAAGAACTGGTTAAACAACAGAGCCCAGAGGGTGGAGGTCAGTGGGGTAGAGTCTAGTTGGCGGCCTGTGGCTAGTGGTGTCCCCCAGGGGTCAGTGCTGGGCCCAGCACTAGTCAATACATTCATCAATGACCTGGAGGAAGGGCTGGAGTGCACCCTCAACAAGTTTGCTGATGGTACCAAGCTGGGAGGAGTGGCTGACACACCAGAAGGCTGTGCAGCTATCCAGAGGGACCTGGACAGGCTGAGAGCTGGGCAGGGAGAAAGTTCATGAAATTCAATAAAGGCAAGTGTAAAGTCCTGCATTTGGGGAGGAACAACCCCATGCATGAGTACAGGCTGGGGGCTGACCCGTTGGAGAGCAGTTCTGGGGAAAAGGACCTGGGAGCCCTAGCTGGTAGCAGGATGACCACAAGCCAGCAGTGTGCTCCTGCAGCCAAGAAGACCAATGGCATCCAAATCCAACGTGGCCAGCAGGTTGAGGGAAATCATCTTCCCCCTCTACTTTGCCCTGGTGAGGCCCCACCTGGAATACTGTGTGCAGTGCTGGGCTCCTCAGTTCAAGAAGGACAAAGAACTGCTGGAGAAGGTCCAGTGCAGGGCTACTGAGATGATCAAGGTCCTGGAACACCTGTCATATGAGGAAGGGCTCAGGGAGCTGGGGATGTGGAGAGGGTGCCGAGGGGGGGGGGGGGGTCTTATTAATGCTTATAAATATCTAAAGGGTGGGTGTCAGGAAGATGGGGCCAGGCTCTTCTCAGTGGAGTCTGGTGACAGGACTAGGGGCAATGGCCACAAGCTGCTGAACAAGAGGTTCAACCTGAAGGAAGAACTTCTTTACAATGAGAGTGACAGAGCCATGGAATGGGCTGCCCAGGGGGGCGGTGGAGTCACCATCTCTGGAGATTTTCAAGGCCCTCCTGGATGTGTTCCTGAGCGATGTACTCTGGGTGACCCTGCTCTGGCAGGGGGGTTGGACTAGATGATCTTTTGAGGTTCCTTCCAACCCCTAACATTCAGGGAATCTGTGAATATCAGAACCAGTCTTGCCTCCATTAGTAGCTGGTAGGACAGAAGCCTGGAACAGGCCCAGGGCCTAGAGTCTCGCGTTACTGTCAGGAACACACTTCACTCTGAAAGTGAACTAAAGAGCCAGTTCTCTGCCAGCTCTTGGCCATTTACCATCAGGCGGTTCAGGATGTCCACACACAGCTTCTATATACAACCAACACACTCTGATGTTTACCAAATCAAACCTATTGTCCTCAGCTGTCTCAAAGCAAAGTGTCAACACAGCTGTTTAAGTGACAGAGCTCAACAATAACTGAGTGCTTGTTCTCTAACAGTACCTGCAAAGTTTTATTTTCTTCTACTAAATATAACCAAGTTATCTGGCTATCATAAGGTTTTGGACAAAGTCACATTGCTAAAGCTATGTCAGAAAGCATCATACAGACAACATGTAATGAACAATAACATAATTATGTCCTGTATTAAATAAATGTCTTTTCTGTACAAATACACTGCATATTCCTTCCACCCCTTTCCCCCAACACTTCTGAAGACACATACATTAACTGATTAACCTAAACAAGGACCTGAAGTGTTTTTTGTTCCAAGCACTACTGCAGATAATAAGCACTAGTGACTCCACAAGCACAGGTAATGGTCACAGTAACAGTTACAGCAAAATCAGAAACCAGAACGTAAACATTCTGCAGTTAACCTGTGCTCTTCCACATGACTTATTTCATTTCTTTTACCTACAATCAGAAGACCCTAACCCAGATTTGGGGGTATTAATATAATTTAAGGTATAAAAAAAGAATAATTAATCTGAGGTATAGCATACAGCATGAGTTCATTTAATTCAGGAAGGAACCTGCACAATTTGCTATAAGAATGCAGACAGAAAAAGGATCACTGAAGTACCTCCTTTCCCAATAAAAGCCCCCAACATCCTCCTGGAAGGAGGATTTCCTGGGGGAATTCTTAAGATGTCAACGGAGACATATTCCAAATGTCTTTCTACGTAATACAAAAGCAAGGACAGAAATTGTGGAACTTAACAGCAATAGTGCACCTCTGTCCAAAGAACCTTCACTCCAGACAATGTTAGCTCAAACCTGGGTAACAATCACATCTTTGTCTTGTGAAATCAAGGTAAATAAAGAAGGCACAGCTGATAAAAGCTAGTATTGAGGAAAACGCTTTATTTTGAATACTTACTATCTTCCCCTGCAGTACAGAAACACTTTTAAGTCAAGATGGCCGATGTGGCCACTGCTAATGAGAAAAAATGGTAGAACTAAAGAATGTTTTCCCTGTTTGCTAACAATGACAGCTGTCACTCCAAACACAGAAACAGCCTGGAGAAACCGAGTGCAACTCACCCTACAGCCCACATACAGGCAGCATAACAGAGCATAGGTTTAACAGTTTTGATACCTTGAGATCTATGAGGCCACTGAAGGAACTTCAAACAGTAGCTTCTAAACTTCAAACAGCAGCATGCTCATGCATATTGAAAGGCTTAGGTTAAGCAGACAACAACCTTCCTGTTTCATACTCTTGGTCTGGTTTCAGAAATTCTTTCCAAGAATACTGTGTTGGAGACTAACAAGGCAACTAATAACAGGCCATGGAGTCACTAATGGAGTGCTCACTCCCCTTCTCCCAGAAAAGGCTGTTCAGATCTGTTGAAATCTACTGTCACATTCTGGCTTCCAGCTGTAATACTATGAAATTATTTAAGCACCGATCACTCTTTTACTTCATTATAATTACTTCTTGAATTTTTAGCATCAACAACCTCAAACTGAAGATGCAACCTTTCTATTTTCTTTTTGTAGAGAGAAATCTAAGCAGTAAACAATTTGTGTAGATAATGATCTATGCAGTCTGGCTAGTGATCACAACTATTAAGGAGTTGTAGTTCCTATATATGCTTATCTCCATTCCTACTCTGTTTCTTCCCTGAGAAAGTTATCTGTTACTAGAGCTGGGACAACTGAAGCAGTCCTCATCTTACTACTTTCTAGCTCAGTGAAAAATGAAAGAGTGGCTTCACTGAAGTCATCACACAGATCTTTTGCCCACCCTTTAGAAAAAGCATTTACATTGCCTGGCAAAAAAAGCTTCTCACCCCAAAAAGTTATTTTAACAACTAACCACCTCAAACTTTACATTAACCCAAATACAAAAGCCCTCTGGTGAACTCACCCCAATGTCTTCATCACTTTGTATGAGCTGTGAATGTCCAAAGAGACGTCTCTTCAGTATAGGTTCCACCAGTGTAAGGTACACCATGTACAGAAGAAGTAGGCCCAAAATAGACAGGTATATGATGATTGTGACCTACACAATGCAAGCACAGGTTATGCCAGCAGTGTGACTTTACTCCCACAATCTCAGCAGGCAGCAAGGACCAAAAGAAGAGTATATAGTGAAGATTTTTATATTCCCATTGATCTTTGGTAGCATCACCAGGTGACTTAAATCCCACAGAGTATAAAACAACAAGCTATGACCTGGTATTAAAATGGGCTGGGGCAGACAGATGCTACCTTGAAACGGTTTCTCTCAGTGAGGCCTTGCTAAAAATCTTACACTGTCCCTCTTAAAAACAACTTGGTGTTATAAATTTCACCTCAGCCAAGATAACTCTTCAGTTTGCCCATTAAACTGTAGTGGCAAATCTGGAGGTTCCTGAATGGTCTCCATTCTCTAGCATGGATCTGTATTCTAATAATCACTAAGAAAAATGGGAAGGAAGAACTACCAAACTTCTAAAGGGAGAAAAAAAAATTGGAAAAAAATCCAACCAAGTCTGTGTCATAAAAGATGCACTACATAATCTATTCACTTCTACCTAGGGCTCAGTGACTCCAACAGGATAAGAATGTGAAGAATACAGAAATCATCTGTTAGAACAAACATGGGCAATTTCTATTTTGGCAAGCTAAAATGAAAAAAAAGAAAATTTAGAGTAAGATAGACAGCTGAAAAATAAGAGGCTCTCTAAAGAAATAACAAAAAATGAAGTCCAGAGCTTGACAAAATGCCCTAGAACACTGGGAATCTCAGCAAGGTATACAGCTTAGTATCACGATAAAAAGTTAAACCTTGGGCTGTTTTAGAAAAATTTTCCCCTTAAAAAGAATATTTCCAAGACAGATACATTTACTAATTGGTTGAAGTATTTCATGCACGCCAACAGAATTACATTGCTTACCTTAATTGTGACAGAACTTCTCTCTTCATACTTGCATTCACAACGTAGACAATACGCCTCTACATCCGGCCCAGGGACAGGCATAGGCTCAACCACGTGAAGACAATCACTGCAGACACACAGAAAGCACTCACTCAGCTCTGAGCTGTTCTTAGCCTACCTGCTCCACTAGGAATGCAGATCCCAGCTGCACGAGCTGAGAAGCCACCTGTGCTTAAGTTCAGCTGTTCTAAATTATAGGTAACCCAGATGAATGTTTTTTTTCTAAAAATCACTTCACCACCATTATTTTACATACGAAATTCAGCTACCCAGAAGCTGCTAAACAAGTTTTAAGACCTTTCTAACTGAATAATGTTTTCATTTTTCAGTGAAAGTATTAAAGTTGTTAGCATAAGTCCAAGGATTGAATCCAAGCACAAATGCATCCTTTGACACCGACATTAAAAACAAAAGTAAATTACAGCTATGCATTTCCTTCTTCGTCATACTCAGAACAGCCTTATTTTGTCCTTCCACTCTCTGAAAGGAAACGAACCTCTCTGGCATTCAAGAATAGAAGTAAGCTCTTTCTTGCCATCAAAAGTTTCAGGAATTAAAGAAAAAAAGTCATATTGTTTGTTTCTCCAAGTAATAAGACCGTGAATAAACAGCATCCCATTTCCAGCACTAGGCCTGGAAGCAAAAGCATAATTTGACTTAGAACAGTCCCATGCCAAAAAGCATGATTGACAATCTCATGGGCCCTCTATACCACAGCACTTAAATCCAGCTTCCATGAGACAACTTCTGCCACCAATAACTTATGTAATTTTGGTCTTTTTTCAGACTCAGGTTGGTTGTTCAGAGTAAACATCTCAGGGTCCCTGCAGAGCACCGACAGAATGAAAAAGTCCTGGTTTGCCTTTATAGCAGTTAGCTGGTCAGAAGCACATCAAACCAGCCTGACACGACAGCAGCAGCCTAGGTTCCAAACACTCTGCTGGGCCAGATGACAACTCTGAGCACACAGCCAGACACCAACTCAACCCTTCCATTTTCTTTGTTATTTCTTCTTCATAACTAAAACTACTGAGCGTCAAGTCACATCCTCTGGAGAGGAGTGGAAGGCTTATTTTTCTCATTTATTTGAAAGCAGAATTACGTTCTGCTCTGTGGAGAAGGGCAGCATTCAAGCTACAAAATAAAAAATATGTGCAGGTTATAACCTGTGTGATTTCTGTTCACCTGATTGAAAGCTTGCATCAATATGTTGCACAAGTACAGCAGAAAGCTCTTATGCAGCTTAAGTACAGTAATAAGTCTCTTACTTCACGTATATCAAATATTAACACCAGCATTTTTTTTTCATCTCCAGTTCAGTGTTTCAAGTTGCTAAGAAGTATAAAATATATCGGAACCTTAGAATTTTGATTATGTTTCTTTGTACTGCAGTTCCATGGCAATTTTAGAGGAAAATGTAGAAAAAGCTGATCCTTTTCTAAGTTATTTTTTACCTCAAGTAAAATTATCACCCTGCCCACAGTAACAGCACCAAGGAAGCAGTTCTGCCAAGGCAAGCTATGCTAGTCAGAAGGGCAGCTCCTGCACAGACAGATTTCCAGTTCATTCAGCTTGTGGATAGCCCATCCTCCCTCCCTGCAGGTCGCTGGCCATTGCTGCAGTCAGCCTCCCTACACCAATACCTTCCAAGTACAAACTACAAACACCAACACTTTCCAGGCAGGTTATTTACCTAGCGCATTGTCCATCAGGGTGGGAATCCCTGCAACAGCTCCAAACCTGACACCAGAAGGGTGAACACTTTTTTGGTGTCAAAACACCCCAGCCCATATCAATGTTAGCATAACACAGCATTTGCCAGCCTGAAGTCCAAGAACAGACCACTGCAAGTGAAAGAGCTAAAGCATCTAAATAAGAGCATCATGGTGCACGTTATATGTTCAGCATTAAGAATTAAATTTTAATTTTATGTCTGGGCAAGCCAGTAGTAAGTGACCATTATACAGTGTATAATTCATAAACAGCCTAAAAATGAATCTGGCTCATCTCATGAGTCACTGATCTAAACACCTAAAGGATGATGTCCATTACCCAGTTCTATTTAATAACAAGCCACCTGCACTGATCCAGAAGCCAAAGTACAGCACTAAATTTGTCTACTTTGTTGCACATAAACTAGCAATCAAGTCTTCCAGAAGTGGCAGCAAGACACCTCAAATTGAAAATCAAAGCCATAAAATGTTCCCAGATGGTCACTTAAGAAATTATCTCAACAAAATGAGATGTAAGATAGGAAAATAGATTTTTGAGACTCTGTATGCGTTCGTTATCTGTCACCATAAAATTAGTCAAGCCTTCAAAGATACTTCTTCCTTCAATCAGTAGTAATATTGACTTAAAGGGAAACAGGGTCTTATCTGCTAGTAGGGCACACACTTAGCAACACCCACTGAAAAGGAATCCATTTTAATTTGCAGAAAGGTAATGACCAATAAGGCCAGTACCACTGCTATTCTGAACTGCCTGCTGCAGCCGGGATCCTCCCAGGACGCTTCACTGCTGCAACTTCATTTGTCATAGGAGGACTAATGTTGTTAAGTTAATTACGAGGGACCAAAATAGCAATTCCAGTTGGACAGTACCTTCTGTGTGCATTAGTCTAGTCTGAAGTTTACAGTGCTGCGTCTCACAGTTCTTCTGTAGGTAATTTAATAAGTCAAGGTATAGCTCTAAATACATCTGTATCACTAATTTTATTCCAATAATTATTTTCGTGGGCCTACTAAGAAGTATGAAATTTTCAGAATCAAGATGCCAACCTACTGCCACGCATCAGGCAGAAAAGTGTTTTATAAATTCTTAACATAACTGAAGAGGCAACACATTAAGAAGCATGTCACAAGTTTATAGGCTAACCCCAAGAATTTTGGAGCACTTCGACATCAACACACCTCTAAAACTCAGTGTTTTATTTGTATGATTCACATAGACAATGATATTCGAGGGGAAATTACACAAGTCATTTACAAGCCAATGTAACAAGTCACCACCATCTCCCTTTCTTCCTCAGCCCCTCACCTCTGGCCACGTACATCAGTGCTCCGCTTGGAGAGGAGTCTCAAAGGCCACAGATGGCCCAAGCAATACAACAGAGCACGCTGCTGAGGCACAAAGATACAAGACTTCCCTCCCTCTTTGAAAGCACACACGTTGTTAAATGGCTCAGGCTGTCTCATATAACTGCACTCTCTGTATGCAATTATCAGGAACAGAAGTCTCCAGAAACAGTAGTCTTTAAATGATACAACGGGTTTCAAGAGGAGAGAAAGAGGCAATACTCCTGAGTCCTGCACCCACTGCTGTGCCCCCCTGCCTTTAAGCCATTTCAAATCACTGAATTCAGATTACAACACCCTCTTCCCTCCTCCTCATTCCAAGTTTAAATAAATAGCTAACATGCAAGCAAGCAAACCTAAAGCAGAAGACAGGGCAAACCTACGGATTTCAAGCCTCGTCCTGTGCTAGAGCTGAATTCTGGACTACTTTTAAAAGAAAAGTTTTAGTAATTTATGCAACAGATGTAATTACTCTTGGCACCCTATAGGAGACTCACATATAATCACTAAGGAACAAGTCTCTAACCAGTAATATTCATTAAAGTATTTTATGCCACACACACTCACCAGTCTTTCTGTGAAACATTTTTGTTGTAAATATTGCCAGAATGGTCTTTGTAAGGAGGGCAGATGCATTTACATCGGACATCCTCAGAATTCTGTAAAGTAAACAACATGCTTAGAGCAAATTATCAGCAGTAACTACAGCCAGATACAGAATGCACTCTTCACGTAATGCATAAAATATTTGACACAAGCTACTTTCAAGTGTCTTTGAATAGTCTTACTCAGAGTTTCCTTCAAGTTTTCAAAAGAGGCAAGCAGAGAAAGTTGTCAAGTAACACTTATTTAAGATAGCAAACATATGTTTTACAAGAAGAATCTGGAATTTAAGCTCACTTTTCTTTTTAAGAAATAAAAAACATTCAGAAGTTACTGTTGTTAGGATACTTGCTTATTCAGTTTGAGGACAACCATATAACACAGACCTTGTGATAAGCTTCAGATGAATGAAAGAACATTAAGCCCAAATGGAGGCTAGCAAAGAAACCTCTGTGGGTAGTTCTGTCCTCCCTGACCACAACAGAAACAACTCTATAAAGAAAACTATTATGGGGCCTAGGACAACCTGTGGTCCTCTTTTAAACAGCAGTAGACTACTGTGAGGCAGAGGAAATAAAAAAGAACAAAACTGGAATTCCAAATGAAGGCAAAGAATTACCCAAATTTGTAAAAGCAAGTTTTAGAGAAACAAGCTAAAATCTGCACAAGCAACATGAGACACTGCAGAAAGAAGTGACAAAAAGGAACCATTATGGACAGTGAGAAAGAAGTGGCACCCAAAATTAGTATATAGACCACTACCAGAAAAAAAAAAAAAAAAATGGAATTTCAGAAAAAGGTCACTTTGTATAGAATGTTGGAAAAGGCTTATGGCTTCCTGTCCCAAACTGCACAAGAAGTGAAAGCCCGACAGAATGGAGATGATCAGCAAGAGGTTATAGATAAAAGCGTTCCCAAATCCAAAGCAGAGCATTCAAACCTCAAACCCAATGATTGGAACAAATAACGACATAGGATAAACAACTCGTATCTAAAGTTCAATGTAATTTCTAACAGCATTATAAAGGAATGTCTTAAGAAATACTGGCAATAAACTTTTACACTGCACAACGGGGCGAGGGTTAACGCTAAGTGGGTGTAAGTCAGTCGGTATATCGCACAGTCAGCATTTTCCAAATAAGTTCTGGTCTTGCTACAGGAAGACAAGTCACCGATTATCATCCAAAAGTAGAAAACTGAGACACGCGGGTACTCTGATAACAGGGACAACGTTTACTATGGGGAAACCCGACGTTCTCCTTCAGTCAGAGCGACGCTACGATTCCGGTCCCAAACACGGACCGCGGAGGAGCGGCAGCGGCGCGGCCGCGGACACGCCACCCGGGC